GTTGAAGTCCACCCATCTTAGAGTTGACCTGGTTGGGAAACCCTGCCACAGAGAGGAAAATCCTCCAGTTAGCAAAAGGGTGACTTTTTCCTGGTGCCATGGATGATTTTTTTAAAGGGCATCCCTGTGCCAGCAGGAGAGTAGAAGCCTTTGCAGCTGGCTAAATTTGGCAGCCTTTGCAACCGAGCGGCATTCGGTACCCACTCTGGTTTGTTTTCCCTCCACTTCCAGGTGCCTCTGGAAGCCATGCCCTGGTGCGCGGCTTTGCTTTTCGTGGCAGCCGGGTGGGCAGTGGGCGCCCCTGCTATGAGGTGCAATAAAGCACTTTGTGCCAGTGACGTCAGTAAGTGTTTGCTACAGGTGAGGCGCTGCGAAGGCCACGCCAGGGCCGTGATCTCGGCGTGGATGTTTAAGATTTGGGAAACAGATGAGTAATAATTATTCTTCGTTGGTGAACTTGCTACCTCTGTACTGGAAGTGACAGGGCTCCGAACACACACGAGGCAGAGAAAATGCAGTATTTCCTGTCAATAGCATGGGGTGAGGTTGGGTCGGAGTATCATGCAGAGGGGCAGCGGGCAACCTCCTCTCCTGGAAAGAGAATCCCCACTCTCCAGCTTTTAATATTTCCCTATTTCCTGATCCGTATTAAGTGTTTCTGTATGACCCACAAGCACGTCAACCCATCCCCGAGAGAGTTTGGGGGTGACTGGGGCAGATCCCCTCTTTTCTAGAAACTGGATGCAAATTACAAGCAAGATGGCTTCAAGAGATCTTTGGGCATCGTGAATCCTAATAAATATCAGCAAAAGCTCTCAGGTTTTATGTTTACGGCAAAAAACAAAAAATCTTTCAGAGATTCTTAAACAACCCCAAATGTGACTTGCGGGTAGGTCTCGGTTAGCGCGGTTAATGAATCTCATGAAATCATTCGAATTTGCACTATTCGGACTGATATTTCTGTGGAAAATATGGCAATTCCTCCAGCTTGACAGAAACAGGCAATGAAAAATTTTAAACACCGTTTTCTATGTATATTAGTGATTAATATTAAAGGATAAAAAACATAATTTAAATTTACCATTAACAAACTGGCAGTGTTAAACTGTGCTGTTTTCCTTTGAATCTTCTTTTTCTTCATTTTGCACACACAAAGGTTAGCAGCATCTGAAACCCCAGCAATTGCACATGCGCTAGCCCCAGTTGTGCACGTTAGCCTTAACTGAATTTTGGGTCACATTAAATGTGACTGGTACCAATTTGCACAAAACCGAATATTGCATGATTCAAACCTGCACTAATCGCGACCTACCTGTATTTCAGTCTTCTTTTTTGTGACCCGTTTTTTGGGCACGAGTGATGCGCGCGCAGCAGCACGAATTCCTCTCGGAAGAAAGCTGCCGTTGCTGTAACCGACACCCCTGTGACCTCTCTCGGCAGGAAATGTGCCAGTGCAAAGCCAACCGTACCCGTTGCTGTGGGGAATGCGCTTTCTGCCTGGCCAAGCTCTGGGAGCCCTGCTGCGACTGTGTAGGTGAGGTTATTCCCCAGCTGGATGGAAAGGGCCGCCGAGACATCGACGAGGCGGGATGAAGGAATCGTGGGAATTCCTGCCATGTTTTCTCAGACTTCCACCCATCTTCCTGATGTGTTTGGATTTGCGAGCACCCTCAGGCTCAAAAAAACTGTCCTAGACCTGTAACGGTATGTGGGAAAGACCTTGGGAGATGGGGCAGAGAGACGCTGCCTAGGGAAGGGTCAGATAAGAGACAGCTTAGCCCGCAGGTGCATAGTGGGAGGGGCAAGGGGCTCAGAGGGACCCTCCCTGGTTTCTCGGCTATAAAGGAGACAGAGGGAGAACTGACTTTAAGATTGAGGTCAGCCTTACCAGGTAGTCCAGACAGAAAACATGACCAGATAAACCAATTCTACTTTATTGTAAAGCAACGTTAACAAAATCTTGCAAATCTCACAGTCAGTTCTCCCGCTGTCTCCTTTACAGCCCAAGAAACTAGGGAGGGTCCCATTCCCTTGGCAGCATCTCTTTGCCCCGTCTCCCAAAGTCTTTCCCACATACCATTACAAGACCTGAGGAAGCAAGAAGATACAAGTTTCCAGAAGTTTAGCTCTCTTTTAAACAGGGATTGGAGCAGGAAATGTGTTGTGATCCAAGGCCAATTATCTGCTTTGGGAACAGAGATTCTTAAATTTAATCCTGCGGCTCCAAGCAGGGGTGTCTCCAGTTAAAGCAGAAAAAGAGATGGCGAAGTCCTCCTCTTGTGACACCGCTGTGACACGGGGCTTGGGTAGGGTCATCACTGCACAGGCTTAGATGCTGTGAAAGCATATCAGTTCCTCACTTGCCAGCAAAAGACAGGCCAGCCTGTCCGGCTGGTTTGTTTTTTGCTGGCAATCGGCAATTGCCAGCTGAGAACAGACCAGCTGAGGTCTGCTGCTGCTGCTGCTGGCAAGGAATAATTCAAGTGACCTTTTTTCTTTGTTGTTTCCTTGTGGTTGTCCTTCACTTGATTTTTTTTTTTCAAATTCGGGGTATCAAGTTATGTCAGTTGACTTCCCTGGCTGTAATGCTGACTCAGAGGCTCTTGGATACAGTACCCATGTCTGCATTTATTATCAGTCTTTGAAAGAGCACGTTAAAAAATGTGGCTTTCCACAGGGTTCCTTAACCTCAGCAACTTGAAGATGGGTGGACTTCAGCTCCCAAATTCCCCAGCCAGCATGGCTTTGCAGAGAGTCCCCTTGCTAAACAAGGGAGAGGCTACACCTGGGTCTGTCCTAGGCCTAAAATGTTTCTGGCTCAGGGCTGGATTCTGACTTAAATTTTCCATCTCAAGGCCTGTGCGATGGCCGCATCTCGTCCGCTCCCCGCCCTGCCCAGCGAAGTTCCATGCACAACTTGGTGTCCCCGGTGCCCTCCCTTTTCCGGGCACTCCTGGCCCTCTCCAACAACCACCCTGCCCTGGGCTGGAGCATCGTTACTCTGCCACTAGAAGAGGAACTGCGGCAAAACCACGTGGAGACCGGACATCTTCTGCTGGGACCACATACAGGTATGCCCCGAGGGGCAGGGATCACCTCCGATTTCCCCCGGTCTAGGAGACAAGGAACCCTCCAGGAAGGAATCCATTCCAGTCTCTCCCAGTCAACAAACTTAGGGAAGAGGCATTTAAATTCCCCAGGACGTCCAGGATGGATCACAGTTCTGGGTTTGGCATCAGATATGGACAAAGGTGCCCTTGATGTACCTTCAAGGTGTGCAGAGTCCCGATCCTTAGCTTTATGTGCTCCTTGAAAGCTCTGCATCAACCCCCAGGCCACCCAAAAGTTGCAGTGTTTAATGCGCTCAAAGGGTGAAATTATGTTAAATAAGCAGGAGCAGTCATATTGAGTAGAACTAGCCTCCTTCAAGTCAAGTGAGCTTCTGATGGCTTCACAGCCATGGCCACTGACTTCTTTTCAACAGCATAAAAGTGATTTGCATTTTTTCCTCCTCCTGCAATTTTTTAAACATTTCCCATCTAACCAACAGCCTTGGGATTTCCTTGTAGTCTCCCTTCCAAGTACTTATTCTGGTCTAACCCTCCTTCCAAGCTCAGCCAAAGTGCTGTTTCCCACTGTACTTAATGTAGCCATATTTAAATTTCATTAGATCAGATTTTTGTCCTGGTTCCACCCATTTTTTGAAGCATGGCCCAGCATGCTATTCAATGTTGGCTTTCATTTTATGTTCTTTTTAAAAATTATAATAGTTTAATAACATTTTAAAATTTATTAAAATTAATTTATAATTTTTTAAATTATAAAATGCATTGGTCTGATTGATACCAAACTAATGTATAGCTAAATATAGATTCCCTTGAATCACTCTCAAGCCCTGAGACTTCCATTGATATGTCTGCGTAGAAGCAGCAACCTGGGATGTTTTCTCAACCTCCCTGTCTAGCTTTAAAACTGTAGGATCTCCTAGTGGTCTCCCATTCAAGTAGTAAAAAGGTCTACCTGCCCTTAGCTGATTCAGATGGCCAGGGCCATTAGGTGGTGCTACCTGCCATTTCTATGGTCCAACAAAAGCTTTAGATCAGTGTTCTCAAACTTGGCAACTTTAAGATGCGTGGACTTCAACTCCCAGAATTCCCCAGCCAGCAAGTTTGAGAAAACTGCTTTTGATTGTTAGATTTCTTTCAAGGTGACCTACATCTTATCATTTGCTGCCCTGTTATTTGCTATGATTGCTGTTATTAGTAATCTTGACATGATACTGTAGCACCTGCTCACAAATTCCCAAGGCCCTCTAAGGGGAATGGCTGAAGGATTGGCTGGGGGGCCTCCCTCTGCCGCTGCTCACCAGCATCAGCTGCTGCCTGTGGCCTCTGATCCACACTGCCCAATAGAAGAGGGGGATCGTGAAGGGGGGAAGAGGAATGCTTGCAAAAATGGGAGGTGGCAGCAGGGACACCAGCCAGCTGACAATGACAAACCTTTCTCCTTCTCATTGGCAGACTTGGCACTCCCAGACACCGACGCCGCCACCAAGGTCCCCAATGCTACAGTGCCAGCTTGCCAATCCATATACTTCAATGACTGTCTGTCCATGAGCCGGTGCCGCACAGCCTGCCAGTCGGTGGGAGCCTGGCGCTACCGCTGGTTCCACAGCGCCTGTTGCCAATGTCTGGGGCCTGACTGCCAGGGCTACGGAGGTGCCCATGCCAATTGCTCCAACTGCCGGGACTGAGCAGCTGGCTTCTCGCTCCCTGGCATGGGGCACCCCACCCACCTTCATTTTTCTACACAGCTGCCTGCAAACTGCACGCAGGCTTTCTTGCTTCCTACTCTGGTGGTCTTTCCCTGCCAAGCCCAGCCATTTTCAGCAGAGAGCATGAGTTAATGGACCCTTTGGTGGCACAGATGAGCCCAACCCAGCCCTTTGCTCTGCAGCTGGAGCTCCCTCTGTCCGGGGCACCTCGCCTTGGACATTTTTCCTTCCTACCCCTCCACCACCTGCCCAGTTTTGCTGAAATCGGCTTCGATCTCCTGCTTCATAGCCTTGTGCACAAATTCTCAGATCCCCCCTTTTAATGATGAATATCTCTTTGTAGCACTTGGTAGTAATAAAGAAAAATGTGGGGAACACAGGCTTGTCTGAAAGTATTGGAGGCACAAATTTTAGGCCAGATGCTATACACGGTCTGTCACGAAGATCAAGGATCTGCCATATGCCGAACATGGATAGGTTCGTGCTTTGCTAGACTCAGTTAAAATGAGGGCTAGGCAGTTTGTGGTTCAGCCTACTGGGTGACCCAGGCTATCCTGCTGGTAAACCTGAGTTGTTTAGGGCATTGTATATAAACCCAGTTGTGTTTCTGGATTTAGCGAGTTGTGTGAACCTGACTCACGTGGTGTTGTCATAGCCCAATAGTTAAAAGGAACTTAATGGCAAAGGTGCCCAGGGGGGGAGTAGAAGGTGCCAGCTTGACTTTTTTTGACTCCCCCACAGATGGAGACTCCCCTACTGTTGATGGAGGAACAGGAGACAATGGCTGAAAGCTACTAGGTGCACATGTTGCATGGATGTTTTTGCTCACAAATCTCTGATTTTCTAGACTCATAGTGGTTGCAGAAACACTAAGTTCTAGATTCAAAGGAGATTTTGAAACAATCCTTGGCTTGCTCTCCCAATGTTAGTTAGTGTGCCTTGACTGGCCTTTTCTGCTTGGTTGGTGCTGAAGCTGACAACTATGAGGTCAGAGATTCTCCCAAGATCACCTTGTTTCACTGCAAAAATACCTACAGCTGTAAACCTAGTTTGAAAACCTTGGTCCACAGAACCACAGAAGATATTTTCCCAAGTGGGTGTGAGATACCCTACCAAGGGAAATGGCCCTTTCCCCAAGGAGTGAGAAGGTAGCAAGATTTAATCAGAGCCAAGCTTCGCCATCACATGCCCCTTGGTTTCACTGCTGTACATATGTACAATTCTTTTCAACTGAGCCCCTGAGCATGTGTAAAATGCCTTTCCATGCTGATAAACTGGATTCAGAAAAAGCACAAACCAACCCATGATTAAAATGAGAGCGTATGCGAGTCTACCTGCTATTGGAGTTTGTCTACCATGGCTGAGGGTATCTGAACCCAAACAATGGGGGCTTGCTCAGCAAACCATGGCTTGGGGGATGTGTGAGAATTTGGACTAAGGCGAAGGAGAAAAGCTGCTACGATGAAGTAGGAGAGTTAATACAGCGCGGGTCCTGGGTTCGCGTCTCCAACAAGTTAGTCAGATTCTAGCTTACCGCAGAGACCTGCTTCACGCAAAAGGCTGAAACAGTGGCTGCGTTCTGACAACCCACGGACCCCCGAGCTCCCCAACCCGCTTTAGCTTGGCCCTGCGCCACCGGGAAGCCACAGCTGTAGAGAACGGGCTAAGAAAGCAGCAGGCAGCGCCGCCTCGCCCCGGTCCTCCTTTCCCACCCCACCAAGCTGACCATCCGGGCGCTTTACGGCAGAGCCTCCAACTCGGACGCCGCTCTCCCCCCCCACCCCCGAACGTTCCGGAACGCGTGAAGCCACAATGAGCGGAGGGAGGCCTCTGAGCACGTGCAGAGTGGGAAACCATCCGGAGCTGGAGCCTCCCCTCGCCGGCGGCGCCGCAGAGCCCCC